CTAGGTACGGGAATTATGCGATATCATGTGCACGTCCCTCGAGAGGTAAATAGGGTGGTAGTAAAGAGCGAAAAAACGGAAACGACCTTGAGGAGAGGAAAGGCGCACTCCGATCGGTAGAGAGCGAGAGAGAGAGAGAGAGAGGAAAGGGGGGAAGAGAGGATGCTACCGGCATTCGACCCCGCTATTTCGATTAGCTAACGAGAGACTGCCATTCGTTGCGATCAGATCATCGAGAACTAGGTCACTAGGGTTTTTTAAGGACCTCACGTTCTCTCCCACATTCTTATTTGCAATGAATGAAGCGCGTTATGCATACTCGATGAACAAGTTGAGAGATCTACTATTAATAAAACGTCTCCATCAAATTCTTCTCACCAACTATAATTTTCTAACAGAAGGAAAAAGAAAAAGTATACACTTTTCTATTTTTCTACGTGATTGGCCGATTCGTTTATACTGCTTATTATCTTACGTTTTTTATGTATTTCTGACTTAAGTGATTAAAATGACAATTAAGTTTACCCGCGTTCATTGTCAGCTCGTTCAAGAATTTTCGGCATTTACAATCGCGACAAGATTCCGAGATCTGAATGTAAACTTGATATACAATATGTTGATGTCGTGCACGCGAACGACACGCGGCGATTATTATGCAGACGAAAATTAATGGCCGCGTGTTAATGGTGGCTGGGAGGGAACACACAAAATAATTCCGCTAAATTTAACGATCACAGTAGGGTCCGAAGAAAAAAACGCGTGCGCCAGTAATTGGCTATTCTACTCGCGATACATCCGGGTCACTTATAAGAGATATAATCCCTTGCAGGGGTAGGTACGGTACTTACCCCTGCAAGGGATTATATCTCTTATAAGTGAACCAGTTTTAAGCGAAGGGACTATTTTTTCCCGATCATGAGGACCAGTAAAGAATAATTAATTATTTTGCATGAATTATTTCGAAATTTAAATGACAAAAATGATATATTCTAATAAATAAAAATTAAAAATGTCCTTATACTATAGTTAACATAATATCATATCATGTATGTTAGAATTATAAATTTTGAGATGTGAAAGATGAATGTTCGTGAAAAAGGCAACTCTCTCCTAATGATACTAATTTATTTTCAGCTAATTACATTTAGTTATATAACTAACATCAGTACTATTATGTAATGTGCTGTATCTATGAACGATTGTTACGGTTATCAATGCATTTTTATCAGCGTATCTCTCATATTATCGTACTGTAATTTGTTAGAGTTCTTGATTTATTATAGTGTGAATACAAAGTGTGAATAACTTCTTTCAAGTGGCAACCTTATCGGACTAGCGATGTTGAAACACGGTTGTAGAATTTCGTGAAAGGAAAGTGGGTTTTCCGCATGCTCAAGAGAGTTTTAAATTTCCCGGAGGCTTTATCGGGTACAATTTCCTCGGAAAATTTATCGCAACAAATGTTAGTATCTCACTAATGTACATGACGAATGTATAGACATGATGCACATATCCGAACATTTATTTTTTATCTGTTCCCAGGCTTCGTCATATATTAATAAATTCCATTTCGACACTGTAAATCTTGGCTATCTCGAAAGAATTTGAGCCGGAAAAATGTCCGTAATCGACCGCTGTGAAATCCATAATGTTCTTCTCGAGCCTCAAGCGATCTTCCATGGTCGAACAACGGGGCATACTATTAGTATATATGTTCGGTAACTAGTCTCGTGATTTTCCGCTGGTCTCTTCCCTGTGCTATTATCTCAATATCGAAAATTGTCGGTCTTGCTGTGCCATAATAGCATCAACGTAGAGAAGGACGTCTAAATCACTTAACCCTAAGCTAGTCTAATCTAATCTGACCTTTTCTAGGCTAATTTTCTTCTTGTGAATCCCTTAACAAAAAGAAGACCACCTCAGAAGAAGACATTCTCAGGCACAAAAAAAACCAAGAATTTAGAAATAAAAAGCAATTGGGCTTAGAGTCTACGTTTACATACATAATGAAAAATAAATATAAAAAGATATATAATTGTCAATGGACAGTTTTGACAGTTCATGCAATTACAGAACAATCGATATGGTTTAGTATTGACTCGTCGTACATTAATATTTTTATTGATTTTACTGAGTTAGTAAAAGTTAGTAAAAGAAATTACAAAGCCTTGACTAAAATGGCAATAAAATAGTTACGAGTAGTTTAAATAACTCTAGACACACGTTGAGGGTATTTCAAAAGTACTTAAAAACATTCGATGATAACTGATATCACTAACTATTGATGATAATTGATTGCACTCAAAGCATCGATGCCTAGTGGCTCCTGAAAGAGCGCAAACATCTTATCGGATATGAAAGACCGGCGATTCTCGACGAGTGGTTCGCGAAGTCCTCTTCTTGAGGACCTCGAACAGGAGTGGAAAGTGGAGGTAGTGGAGGAACTGAGCGAATAGTGGACGAGGTAGAGAAGGAGGTGGCGGAGGAGACTATTGCGGTGGGAGCGAGTGCCACTGACGATGCAAGTACGAACAGGCTCGTTAAACAGTTCGAAGCTTCGATATGCTTCGTGTCTCTCGTCTTCTCTTCGGTGTTTCACAACGAGAAAGATTTCTTGATCAGTGTCGAGTTTTGATGACAAGTGCGAAAGAAAGTGTCAACTATGTACTGAAAATGTAGTGTATATATAGTACACACACACACACACACACACACACACACACACACACACACACACACACACACACACACACACACACACATAATGTGTCCTACCTAATTCGAGTATTTGAATTATCTCACTTGATTTTTATGATAGGAAAAAATGTTTCAGATGAAAGTAGAACGATTTCAAGGGAGACGTATTTTGGTTGTATTGTTTTTCTTTTAGATAGAGGCGGCAAAAATATGAAGATCATCTTCACTTTTTTAAGAACTTGTATGATTTTTTTTTACACAATATGATTCCTCTAATTATTCTGTGTATAACTATTAAAGTAGAGATATCAAAAAATCAATAGGTTCCGATTATTTAACATTTTATATCAATATATGCCAGAATAAAGTATAAAATATCTCATAAATTATTAGTTTTTTTATATCTCTACCTTAATATTTTTATACAATATACAGAATAATTAGAAGAATCATAATGTTTAAAAAAATCATACAATTCCATTTGAAAGAGTGGAGGTGACCTCCATATCTTTTTGGCCCTTTCATCTAGAAAAAAAACAATATGACTAAAG